AAAGCTATAACTGTGATTGTTATAACGCTTATCAATCGGAAAACTTCAGATATTTGACCAGGAACCTTACAAAGTTCGAACATTAGAAATCATTTAACCACAGTGGATTCTCATTGGACATTAGTATTTTTACGAAAACGTTATCTAATGTCACCGGTAGGAAAAATATCGGCGTGTGATCAGCGAGAAGGACGAAGCTAGCTAGCTTCCCGTTAAGTGAATTATACCTACATCAACTCGTAATCAACTCGCTCATCGTGAGCCTTCGATAAGATATCGAAGAAGTTCCAGACTAGAAAGAAGACTTTATATTGCTTCTAAGTTTGTGAAACTTTTGTTTATAAATCATTGTTTGTAATAAATATTTGTAATAACTGTTATTGTAAATTGTATTGTTGTGTGTACATGAAAACGTATTTGTGTTAAAAAAGTAAACTGTGTGTATCAGTCTTGTTGGCAAATATAAACTGACTATATATCGGCTTTTATTTAACTGCATAATCCAAAGTACAATTTAACTACCGAATTTAAATTTATCAGTTAACTCAATTTCAGGTTATGTGAACTTCTAATACGTAACATTTTACATAGAATATTGCAATTTCATCCAATTTTGTTGGATAGTTCTATACACTGAATGTTGTAAATTTCAAGGTCATAAAAGTATTCGATATGATGCAATAATTGGACTCCACCGTAAATAAACGTCATAAAAACATGTTGACAATTTCTGGTGATGTAACAGAAAAATGACATTTATTTTGCTTGTTTATCTTCTAATGTGAATCTTCATATAAACACAGTTCATCTTTATTGTAAAGCAGTAGCTGATATGACATCAGTATTATTATCTTACATTCTTACCCTAGTTTTACGTGTTTTATAAATTTATTATATTCTTTCTTTAGTGTTAGTTTCATTAAAATATTAGTTGAAATATTTATTTTTTATATGTATTTCTGTAATTTTCCATATCAGATAATCTAATCATAGTTACTTTCAAGAAGACTGCGTAGACTGTGCTATCTTCAGATATTGTGATTATTATCTGACTAGAAGTCTGCTGATATTCTGAATATTATCTGATCACCAAAACTGTAGACTGTGCTATCTTAAAATATTCTGTGTATTATCTAATCATTATGAATGTTTAGGCGGTGATGTCTTGAGATATTGTGAATGCTAAAGATATGGCGATACGATAGGAGTATCTTAACGTGAAGCCGTGATACGATTGTATCGATACATTGCTCGATATTTATGTATTCCCGAAATTTGACAAACTTTCAGTAAATATTATGTCTTTTGTACAAAAAAAAGAAAGAATTTATAATAAAGTATTTCTGTTAAAAATTAATGATTCAATAAAGGAAGATGAGTATTGAGTACTACATGTCTTTATTTCTTTTATCAAAAACATTACATGCAAAGTAACATAACAAATAAACAATAACAAAATATGTAGACAAATATTAACTTTTTTGTTTTCATTTTGCTTCTCTTCCCAGCTGCCATTCAGTTGATCAAACTTGAGAATTTTAAAAATCACTGTAAAGTGTGAAGTACTTAAAGAAGACAATGTTAGTAATATAGATAATAAATTACAGACAAGACTGTCAAACTTTGTAACAAACCGTTGGTAAAACTTCTGTATCTAGATACGTATCGTATTGACTACTATGATGAGATACGCACCCCTAGTGAATACTGTCGGATTTTGATTATGACTGGGTAAATTGGTCTGTCTTAGGACAATTTGAATTTTACGTGATTATTATAACGTTATAGTCTGTATATCATTCATGTATTCTGGACATCATCTGATTATACTATCTTCATCCATATCATGACCGAAGACTCACAAAATCTGTCTCTTAGCCATTGTAAATAGTATCTGTTCATGAAGACTTTTAGATTGTTTTTTTTTTCTTTCTGATATTCTTTATATTACCTGATCATGAAGACTATGTGGGCTGTAGTATCTTCAGATAACCTGAGTACTACTTGATCATGAAGACTGCGTGAGCTACACTGTCTTCTTATATTCCGAATATTATCTGATGATATTGTCTGATGTTATTATCGCACAGCAATAACTTTTAAGGATCACAGAAAAATGTATAGAATTAATCATTTATAAACCGATCGTCATCACTCAGAAAACGATACAGTTCATATAACACTTCATTTGACAAACTAGTGTCCGGAATAACTTGCTGCTTTATTTATTTTTTAATCATTGTACATTAATTTTACACATTTTGGCCGTTAGGTGACACTGTGAACGAAAAAGTATTACTTGTCTCAGCATTGTTCACTGCAAACAGCTTGAATGTGGTATCTACAATACTCCACCTTCTTCGATTTCTCAAAGCGTGATTGATATTTCCTTTATCTGTTTATTTGTGTTATAGCAAAGACGCGAGTAGCATTTAAAGCATGAAGGGAGCGTCTCTAAGTTAGTTCTTCTTGAAATTAAGAAAAATTAATAATGTTTATTGTAATTGGAAAGCTGCAAAATTAGTTTCGTACAATGTTCAAAAATTAACGTGTAAATATTTTTAAAACAAATTTAATAAAACCTAAGCGCATGCTCAGTAAAAGTAAACGAATAAAAAAAAACGCGTGACTTTCCCAGAGGACGCTATATCTACCAGCACTAGAGTAAAGCGTGCAACACGAGCCACGTGCAGCGGATAGTTAAACCGCTGCAACCGAAGGTTGTAGAAAACATGCCATCTGTAGTAAGTAATTTTGAGTATAGTTTCTATCTGTACGTTAATAAGTGGTTATTTGCCAATAATTTTGGATCTTACAGTTAGTGTATCTGGTGTAGGTTTTATACGATATTATGTACCATAATAACCAATGTAAGTTGCACTATGCCATTGCGGTCTATAGAGAGGCTATTCTAACACTAACAGTATCACAAAACTGGGATATAATGTTTTTACGTTCAGTTCACTGTTGGAGAAAAGATCGCTTTGAAATGTCAGCTGCACTGTCTTAAGTTTATTCATCACAACATGCTTTATATAACTTATAAGTACATCGATTCAACAGTAATTTGTGTATGTATTATTATTAAATAACGGATATTGATGCAAATATATTGTGATTTACTATTAAAAACTCTCATTCCCACACATAAAACGCACACGAAAATACGTGAAACAACCCCGTATGTTAAATAAAACGTCAAATAATGTCCCCCTCTTTGAAGTTGAACGGTGGTTGTCAAACTTGGTAGTTATTTTTTATTTGCATCTCGGGTATAGATGAAATGTACCGACATTGCAACACCCAAAAATTTCGTAGAATTGGCGTATTATTAAACTACCGTGAAAGTACCGAGAAATTAATATTTTCAGGACTTAATATTACGGTGAAAGTAACCACTGCGTGTGGATAATGATTTTATATGATTCAGTGAAAATCACGTCCTACGCCTACTGCATGTCTTACACTCGTCATCGCCCCCCAGTGGCACAGCTGTATGTCTGCGGACTTACAACGCTAGAAACCGGGTTTCAATACCCGTGGTGGGCAGAGCATAGATAGCCCTTTGTGTAGCTTTGTGCTTAACTACAAACAACAACAACACTCGTCATCTGTCGCACTCGCTTGTAGACGACAGATTAGAAAGTTGCATTAAAATAAAACTCCTAGTATTTTCGATGAGGCACGCTTTGAAATCACTCGAACACTCGAGTCTCTCTCTATCTCCCTTTTTTCTAGTTTTATTGTAAGAACTGCTTTGTGTATTCATTATATTTGTTAGTTATTAAGATTTCTTTTAGCCGTAATGATGACAGTACTTATAAAATCGTAAATTCGTTTCGTTGCTCTGTGTGTATGGAAAATGTGAATTTTCTATTAGTATTATAAATTGCAATGTTTCCTGGCCCCTTTTTACAGTATTGTTTCTGTAACATTAACAGTGCAGGTTAATTTAACTTCATTTTAAGCAGCACTTATAACACTGATATATTGTATCGGACTAATTATTATAAGCTTGTTATCGTAAGTTGAGGCATTTTTGAGACGCACAACAGCTACCCATATTTAGATATTAAAACGAATTGAGCCTTCATTTTTACAGGCGTAAAATATATGAATAAAAAAGTAATTATTATAAAACATATTCTCAAAACTAGATGAAGCTTGTGAATGACTAAAATCTTATTATAATAGAGCTTGCGATGTATACGTCCAAAACTCTGATCTCGGAAACTACCACACCAAATCATAACTAGGTAATATTTTTATAACTAGGCAGTATTTTTATAACTGAGCAATAAATAAAACAATTGAAATTTCAGATTTAACCAATAAAAATTACAAAAAAAGAAGTAAGTTTCAGATTTAACCAAATATAAAACAATCAAAAAATAAACTTAAAAAATTATTTGCTTTCTATAGTGAAAATCTCATGAGTTTTGCAACAGAAAAGCAAGGCACTTTCATTTATAACTGCGTCTACAAATAAATACTTCAATAAAATCTACTCTGTGACGATAGCTCATTTTTAAACTAAAATTTCAATAAAATCATTTTTCTCATGAATGGTGAACATTATTGAATGACAAGTATGAGTACATTGTTGTAAAACTGTTGGACAATTCCAGAAAAGGCCGCAGACCCAATAGCCTTCCGCAGGAACTAGCAGTTATACCTCCCCAGAGGGTGGGTATTTCTGCTAGTGTTATTAATGCATGGCTATTTCGACGCATTTTGTAAATGCTACCCGCAATGGAAAGACTGGTATGATTGTTACTTCAACTTTGGTTATTGTTTTTGTCATTTTGTACTATCGTTAGCTACTGGTTGCAGGTGAAGCGAACACAACTTTAGTTACTGTTTTTGTGTCATTTTTCACCATTGTTAGCTATCGGTTATTGCAGGCGTAGCGAACACAGCTTGGGTTATTGTTTCTGTCATTTTGTACCATTGTTAGCTACTAGTTGCAGGTGAAGTTAAGTACAGACTGACAGAACTCTCCAGTTGTTGGAAACCAGATAAAGTCGAGTTGCTTCTCATTTTGTGTCTTCAAATCCATAGCTGGGAGGATGAAGCACATACCCTTAACATTAGACAGCCTGGACGAAATCTTGAAAGTGCAACTACGCCGCAATGACCATTTTATCTGCAAAACACGGCTTTAAGGAACAGCAACTGTTATGCCCAAAACGGTAAAAAATGGACTTCATTAGGCCAGTTTAAGGGTAAAAACACTTGCTTCAGTTATGCTTAAAACTTTCACATACGTAAATGCACATCTTATATTTGTGAATTTTAATGAAAGTAAGAAACAGAAGAGTAGATGGCGGTAAGCTAAGGTGTTGATCTACGCTTTATGCCCCTTCTTTGAACTACAAGTAGTGTGTTGTTAAGTAAACGACTTACTCAACATGTATTTAGTAAATGAACTAGACAGTTTGAAAACTAGGTGGCACCAAATTATGGTTGTGATTTCCTGTGTTTCTGACATACTTCCTGCGATCTGTATACTTAACCCTACATTTATGTACTAAATCGGAGGAGAAAAAACAAACTAGAAAGCGTTAAATTGGAGGATTGAGTTAAGCCTTAAAAGTATTTACTTGGGCAAGCAACGCCTACTACTTCTATGCAGAACGTCCACTTATTTATTCACTAAACATGAACGATAATAATTAAAACCAGACAAGTAACGTCTGGAACCTTCAAGATTTACTCTTATTTTATTCAGTGTCTAGAGGATAGTGACAAATAAGCCAATTTTTGTAATAATACCACACGGCAAATAAATAAATATGGACGATACCTATAATGATGTGTACGCGGGATAACGAAACTAAGGAATTTTTACTTATAATTTTTCTAAAATTGAGCTTCTCGTTAAATCATTTCCTTAACAAATACAAGTAATTTCTAACAGTAACGTTTCGTCTTATTTTCTTCGAATTGTGTTTATATGTATTGGTAGTATATACGACTTGAAGGAAACGTTGTGGAGATGAAGTTTGTTTTCAACTTGCCGACTAACAAGTATTATTATTAGTAATAATCATTGAAACGTTTTAGTTATGTTACTGCTGTTGACAACATGACGGTATCACGTTTTGAATGCTCTTGTACGGTCTAGAGCTTTACTGATTAGAGAGTAGAATACATTCTATAAATTTGCTAGTTTTTAAATACAGCCCTTGGAAATATTAGGAGTAACGGCATTCATCCTACTTGGATTCATTGAAGTCTCTTATTAACAGCCTTAATAATTGTAACCTTATGTTTTCGGTTCATGAATCTTTGACTATTGACACACTTCTGTCGTGCTACGTTTTGTGTAGTTTTCGTAGTTCAAACGTTTTCTTTCTTTTTTTTTTGACTTCGTGGATCTAGCTTGGTCTGATGGTTAGCGTGCTGGACTGTGGATCCGAGGGTTCATGGTTTGCGTCACATTGCAGCTGAAATATAAAATACAAATCATACACTGCTCTTTGTTGCCGTAGGTGCGTTATAAAAGTGACGGCAAAATTCAACTATTCAATTAAGAGTAGCCCAAGATTTAGTAGTGGGTGCTGTTGACTAGCTACCTTCACGCTAGTTTATCAGTTCAAAAATAGGGACGGCTAGCCCATGTAGCCTTTGTGTAACTTTGTGCGAACGTCCGAAACAAATTAAACATTTAGTTCACGAAGTTCATATACTAATGATCGCACAGCACGTGAGTGATATAGACTTAATATAAACTATGCTATACCGCGTATATTAAGTCTGTTGTGTGCGTGTATTGTTGTAGCGAATATCACGTGCTCCAAAACTGTTGCTTTTTTTTTGCACGTTTGCCATCTGGAACTTCTTAGTCTATCCTATCTTTACGCACATGAGTACCAACTTATCAATAAATCACTGTCAGACACACGTGAGTGTCTCTCTTGAAGAGTTGCTGTGTACAAACCCTTCTAGTCTTTCTCTCTTTTTTTTTTACGTTTTTATCCCATGCTTACTTTACTGATCTTGGACAGCAAGAGGTATCACGAAAACCTCACTTAACGTGACTTTGTGAAAGCAAAGTCACAGCAAGAGTATAGGTACAAAGCAATGTTGTGTAAAAAAAACAATTCCAATAAAATGTGAAAAAAAATCAACAAATGATAAGCCATAATTTTAACTCAGAATGCCATTGGGATGCAGAGAACTGACTGCTATTCCATATGCGACATTTTCTTTCCTTACAACTTCTTTCCATGCGAGCCTTGAAATAAAAATACCTTTCGAAGAGGTTAACCTCCAAGATGCTTTAAACTAAAGCGGAGACATTGTTTTGAGAGTAAAAAGGGGAAGAATGAAAAACAATTTAAATATAGTGTTTTCCACGAGTTGTATGTTGCTATTGTATAGTAGGTTTCTTATTAGGGGAATCTGTATTCATTTCTGTGACCAAAAACAAGTTAACCAGTAAATCGTTATAAGTCTACAGATGACATTGTTTACAATTTCTATCTTGTCTAGGCCTAATTTTTCAGACTTCAAAATTTAAAAATTTGCCACAAGATGAACGGGCTGATAGAAAAGTTTTCTAATGTCAGAGTATGTATTTTCGTTCGTTTTATTATTATTATTCAGAGTTGTGATATATACCAAATTAATTAGATGTTGATCCAAAGTTTTATTTCAAAGGATATTTTGGTCCCAGTTTCAAAGTAATTTGTTTCTTGTTAATCATACATGAGAAGTAAAAATTGGAATTATGCTTTTA